AAAGAAGAAGACTGATAGTAGTTCCTGAATCCTCCCGCCTTATTCTTTTGGGACTTCTTAATTTCCCTACTCTCAATATATTATGGAATTTTCCGTGTGAAGCTTTGCCATGAATTAGAGTGATGTCAACAAAGTTTTACCTGAAGTCATTCTGAGCACACGCTGGAGAAGCCCTGGGCCTCTGAGGAGGACTGTTTCCTGCTTTTCAGAAGCTTGTCTCCCTCCTGTTAGCTCCTGGAGGCCCAGACAGTGGGCGGAGCTCAGCTGACCTCTGGTAATAAGGGGACCCGTGGCAATGAGTCTTGAGGACCATTCTCCAATCTAAATGGCATTCCACATGCAAAGTCTGCCATGCAGTTGGGTTTTATTGCTCTTTGTTTTTTTCTGTCCACGAAGAGGGAGGGCGACAATGGAATTTCACTACTGGACCAGGTTATCTGCAACAGTTATGTTTGTTTTCCTACCACTCACCCCCAACTTCCTTCAACTCGAGCACATCTACTTACAAACAAAATGAAGACTGACTTTTAGCACCGTTACTGAGCTCTCTTTTTTTTTATTAACTTAAAATGTAGAGCAAAGGTTTGAAATTCAGATAAATATGGCTTAAAAGTATCTCTATTACTGGCTCTACCACTGATCTGTCAGCTGGTTGGGGTCTACGTGTTACTGGGAGGGTGGAAACTAGGCCACTAGTATTTCAAATACCAACATGATGGACAGGTTTCAGGGAATGTTCTAGAACAAGACAGATTCAGAAGAAAGCCCTGGTAGTTATAAAATTCAGCTCATAAAAGATCTCACGGATCATGAGAGAAAACGTTGACCATTTTGGGCATGGTCTCAAAGGACGAGTCACTGAAGGATGACATCATATTTGGTGGGACAGAGGGCCAGCAGGGCTGGTGAACACTCTTGGTGAGATGGACTGGAACAAAAGAAGATTCTAACTTGCCAGGATTCTAACTTTCAGCCAGGATCAATCTGACATCAGCAATGATATCCCTGGTATCATGACCTTTTCCAAATTCTGCTTGAACTTTTGGCAGTTCCCTATTTATATACTGTTCTAGCTGTTTTTTTTATGATCTTCAAATAGTATTCTGCTTGCATGTGATATTAATGATATTAATTATTCAGTAATTTTCACATTCTGTTGCATCCACCTTTCTTGGGAATTGACTATGCAAAAGCATTTGACTATGTGCATCATAACAAATTAGGATATTGAGAATAATGGGAATCCCAGAACACTTAATTGTGCTCATATGAAACCTATACCTGAACCAAGAAGCTATTATCTGAACAGAACAAGGGAACACGACATAGTTTTAAAATTAACAAAGATGTGAATCAGGGTTGTACTCTCTCTCCATACCTATTCAATCTGTACGCTGAGCAAATTATTCAAGAAGCTGGACTCCACGAAGAATGTGGCAGCAAGACTGGAGGAAGACTCATCAATAACCTGCGTTATGCAGATGACCCGATCTTGTTTTCTCAAAGTGAGGGGGACTTGAAGCACTTGCTGCAGAAGATCAAAGACTACAGCCTTCAATATAGATTGCATCTCAACGTCAAGAAAATCAAAACTCTTACCACTGGACCAATAGGCAACATCATGATGTATGGAGAAAAGAGTGAAGTTGTCAATGATTTCTCCTTACTTGGATCCATAATTAACACCTGTACCAGCAGTCAGGTGATCAGGAGACATATTGCACTGAGAAAGTCTGCAATCAGGGACCTCTCCAAATAATTTAAGAAGCAATTATGTCAGTTTGAGGACTAAAGGGTTCCTGATTCAGGTCTTTTCAAACATTTGCTATGCTTGTGAGAGACGGACAATGAATAAGGATGACAGCAGAAGAATTGAGGCCTTTGAGCTGTGGTGGTGGAGGAGAGTACCGAATATCATCCCAGGGACTGCCAAAAGAACAAACCAATATGTCTTGTAGAAAGTGCAGCTGGAATACTCCTTGGAGGCAAAGATGAGTAAGCTTTGCTTCACATATTCAGGAAAATTGCTTGGAAGGACTGTTCTTTGGAGAGGGACATGATGCTTGGAAAGGTGGAAGTCTGGTGAAGGAGAGGAAGACCTTCCACTAGGTGAACTGACATCGTGACCTCCACAATGGGCTGTAGTGTGTCAAGAAGTATAATTACAATATAGTTACTGCACTCTCTCTACTTTCTCCCTGGGATTCTTGTTCCCACTAATCTCCTGTCCTACCCTTTTCTTACACTTTGAGTTTTATCCCTTGACAAATACTGTGTTTTGTTTTTTAATCTCATATATTTGATCGCCAAAATGTGGAACAATCTTATATTGTGTCTATCACATTGTAGGTATTTGAAAAATGGTAGTTTTTATTAGTGCTTTTTTATTTTGGTAGTTCATCCTAGTTAGACTACATGTTGTATCTCCTTTGCGATATGGATTTACACAGATGAGTAGATATGTATTTATGCCTATAATTCAGCTTATGGTCATCTCTTCCTTTATCTCTCATTGCTGTAGAATGGGAACAAAGTCATAGATGACCCTCCAGGGGAATTTCAGAGGCTTTAAGTCACACAGCAGAAGTCTACCCATCGTCCTCCATCAGGGGAGCTAGGGGATTAGAACCACTTGCCTCTGGGTCACTGGCACAATTCCTTACCCACCAGGCTACCACATTATATGCACATCTAAGAGAGGAGGAAGGATTTAAAAGGAGTCCATTCAATGCAGTAAGTATTAAAACTCGGTGACTATCTGGTACTTCCTTTTTCTATTACATACACTTCAGGATCCTCTTTGCAAACCTTTCCATAGTCGTTACAAGGGTCTCTATTTAGCTCTGCTTCAGTTTTAGTCTCTCCACAAAGTCACTAAAAGGTCACTAAAGTGAGTTCATTTAATCTGCCTGTACTGAGCTCTGATAGAGCCTTGGCGGCTCAGCACAATCCTCCTCGGGTTGCTGGTCACAATGTTGGTGATTTAAAGTCACCAGCCAATTCATGGGAGAAGGAAGAGCCAGTTTCCTTCCATAAAGATTTACAGCCTCGGAAACATCATCAGTTGGAACTAACTTGGTGACTGAGGGTTTGGTTGGTTAGTTTATTTATTTCTTCTTACTGGCACCAAGTTTTACTGTGAAATAACCCAAGTGTAGCATTAGGTAATGACCAGGGAAGTTCTGTACAGAATGGCTTAGTGATACCCAATGGCTAGGCTATACTTATGTCTCACCAGTCTATGCTTTCAGAAAACCTAGAGGACAGTGCTTGGCGGACTGACTGAGACAAATCCGTATTTGTTCCCATTTCCAAGAAAGGTGATCCAAAAGAATGTTGAAATTATTGAACAGTATTATTAATACCACATGTGAGAAAAATATTGCTGAAGATCATCCAAAATGGCTAGAGCAGTACATTGAAAGGGAACTGCCAGAAGTTTAGACAGAGTTTAGAAGAGATCGTGGCACTAGGGATAGCAAAGCTGATGTCAGATAGATCCTGGCTGAAAGCAAAGAGTACCAGAAGAATGTCCATTTGTGCTTTATTGACTATGCAAAGACATCTGATTGTGTGGATCATACCAAATTATGGCCAACATTGAGAAGAATGGGAATCCCAGAATACTTAATTGTGTTCAGGCAAAATCTACACTCAGACCAAGAATCTGCTGTCAAAGAGAGCAAGAGAACACTACATAGTTTAAAATTAAAAAAGGTGTGTGTCCAACCTGTATCCTTTCTCCATACATATTCCTTTGTGATACTGAACAAATGATTTGATAAAATGAGTAACCGGCAATATGTAGATGATACAACTTTGCTGCTGAAAGTGAGCTTATACGTGTGTCAGAGATTGTGAGGACGACACAGGATATGATGGGGTTCGGGTCCGTTGTCCGTAGGGCCACTATGAGTTGTATTCAGTTATTACTGTATTCAACAGCGCCTAACAAAATTCCATATCCAATGGCTATGGAGAGACACATTTTGGAAAGCTTCATTAAGACTCAAGATAATTATTAACTTCTTTACTTTACGTTTTAAATATTACCAACAAGGCCAATTCATTATAATCAGAAGAATTGGATGAAAATAATCCTGTCATTTGAAACTAGAATAGGTCATTAGCTATTGTCATAGCCAGATCCTCTGGTTTCTATTAATTTCATTAACATACTAGAAAAAAGGGAGAACCTTAAAATTCAAATATAAAGCATGATTGATGTCCTTAAGTAAAACAATGTCCACGCATTTTGAAAGGACGGTAAAGCAGTCACAGTTGGCTGCACACCCGACGGTTAGTTCCCTTCTTTGTTCAGCTCATCCTTCCTCGGATAACTCCACCACGAGCCTGAGGATGCTGACTGGACCAGGCTAACATTGGTACTCCCAGGCCTCTTCTAGAGCTGGCCTGTGACCTGCTCTGGCTACTGAGATGGGAAGGGAGGTTGGGGAAGGGAGCTTGTGGGAAAAGGTTCCTTATTCAAAAGAAGACCCCAGAAATAGGCAGTCCCTTCCTACCCCTGGATACTGCCAAGTCTGGATGGAAGTACGAAGTGTCGGGGCCATACTGGATTCACCTTTACCATTGAGCCACCCGAGACCTAGCCAAGGGAACATGATGGAAGCAGAACCTGACCTTCAAGGCCCTCAAGACCCTGCTGGAGGACGTGCTGTGGAGGGAGTCTCACTCAGCCCATCGTGACTTTGGGGCCAACTCCAAAACCCAGAAACAGCCAATCAGCACACCTGGCTGAGCAGGAGGGAGGGACAGCCAATCAGCACACCTGGCTGAGCAGGAGGGAAGGACAGCCAATCAGCACACCTGGCTGAGCAGGAGGGGGGGGGGACAACCAATCAGCACGCCTGGCTGAATAGGAGGGTGGGACAGCCAATCAGCACACAGCAGGAGGGAGGGACAGCCAATCAGCACACCTGGCTGAGCAGGAGGGAGGGACAGCCAATCAGCACTCTGGCCGAGCAGGAGAGAAGGCATACCTGCTCCTGTGACTCCAGTTCCCGGTGCTGCAGCTTCTTTTCTGCATTTCGCACCTGATTGGACCGGGCATCCAATTCATCCTGCAGAGCCTGAAAAGGGGTAAAAACACCAAAGGAACATTAAAGACTGGCCACCTGCATTTTCTACCCACTGAACTGATGTCAAATGGGCCATGGATTTCCACTCTATGACTGTCAGTCCCGAGAGTTCTGATAAACAAAAACAGACTTTCAGATGGCAGATCCCGAGACCCTGCTTTAAGAATAGCTGAGGTGGAAAAATTCCAAACAGGAATGCAGAAGGTGTCAACTCATTTGGTGAAGCTGTCTATTACAGACCCAGCAGAGACCAGCAGAGCATTCTATCAGGCAAAAAGCTACTGCTAACTACAATAGCTCTCTGAGTTCACCTACAAGGTGTCCTCTATAAACTGTTGTGGTGTATAGTGATAATCTGGCCAATGTGACATTTTTCAAAATTATAATTTGGTAATTTGAGTAAGTAACAGTAAGCTTAAAGGAACTTTTTTTTTCTAAAAAAAAGTCAGAGGAGATGGCACCAAATTTGAATAATTTATAAGATTTGAATAGAGATTCAGGCCAAGTGAACAGAATCAGGTTAATCTGGTGAGCTCTGAAAAAGCAACACTTGCAAGGACCATTTCACTATTTTAAGAAGCCAAGTGGACAGAGGGAAAACAAGACCCCAAACATCAAAACCAGGATCTAGTCAAACAATCCAGTGAAATTACAGACGTAAGAAGAAAGTGACAGGGCGCTGAAAGCACAGGATGGTTAACAGCCAGGATGCCAAATACATTCTCTAGGGTGAAATCTGTTTGGCTGAGAGTTTCTGCTGCCCATCAAGAACTATGAGAGTCACTACAGACAGCAGGGAGGGGGGGAAATCAGGTCCCCCTCCAAGCCCCACAAAAACAAACCCCTGCATTCATGTAGCTTGTACCATGATGGGGGACGGTGGGGAAACAAGCAAACAGTATGTAGAACAGACGGAGGTCTGAGATAAGTGCAGAAGGGAACTAACGTGGGCATGCAGGATAGAAGGTTCAGAGCTGGGCTGACCGGCAAAGGTCTGTGAATTGAAATGGATGGTCCAGGAGGGCGCGCTGAGCAAGAGCCGGAGGAGAGTCCATCACGCAGATGAGTGCACGAGGAGACTTATAGGCAGAAAAGTGACACGTGAAAGACTCTGACAGGATAAATCCTAGGGGGCAGCCCTACACTGTCACATGGAGTCTCTATGAGATGAGAATGAACTTGATGAGTCACCTGGAGACAATAGCCTGCAGGGTCAGCCAGGGGCTTCAGATGCCATCAGAGTGGACGGGATGGACGCCTCCTGGGGAGATATGAGAAGGAGCAGTCCTGGCTGTAGCTTAAAGAGCAGGCAGAAGAATGACAAGGCCCAAAGCAGGGAGGCATGTGAGCAGTCTCTTGCTGTGCACTGGGCGTAGGATGGTGGAACAACAAGGACATCTCTACGTAAGGACAGAGGACATCTCTGACAAAGTGGGGACACAGCATGAGACACAGAGGTGTTCCCAAAGATGAGCAGGGGAGGCTGGTCTGAACAGCTAGGAAAAGCAATCTGTCATTCACTGAGAAGGGGGAGACTGAAAGGGAGGGGCACTGATGTAGGCCTTGAACATGAAAACCAACACTCACTTGATTGCTTTTTTCTTTTCAATTTATCAGAAAAGCAGTATTTCTCTAACAAATAAATACATCTTAAAGAAAGTGCAGTCAGAGTGCTCCATGGAGGAAATAAGACAAAGCTTCACTTCACATACATTTATTTTACCTCAGAGGAAAAAAACCCCTCCTATCTCCTGGCCTGCCTTCTTCCCCATTTCACCAGCTAACTCCTGAAAGTGGTCTACACTCGGTGTCCCCGGAACCCCTCCCCGCCCCTCGATACCTCTCCTGACTGACTTCTGCCTCCTCCACTGTCGCCACAGTCACGTGTCAACTCCCAAGTGTCAAAGGCAGAAGCCGATTTCCTCCCTCCTTCCATGGGAGGACGTGGTCCTCTTCAGGGCCCGACGGTTTTATTCCCTTGAGTTCTGAGGAAACACTGCTTCAGAGGACGTCAGGGGGTTAATTAAGGAGGCTGCTGCACAAGTTATGGGCTTGAAAGAAGGCCTGGGGATGCAGAAGGAGAATCACTACTGGGGAGATGCAGAAAGAAAGGAAGCCAAGGATACCAGCACACTTTGATACTGAATGACCAGAGAATGGAGATCATGAACTGAGCCAACAAGCAGCAAGCTACAAGAGAGGGGGGCAATATGGCTTCAGATAAGCTGAGCTTAGGGTGCTGCCAGGCACCCAGGGGAAGCTACCAGGCAGGTGACAATGAAAGACGGGTCCACACAGCAAAGGGACAGCTCTGACAAGGTGCTGATGAAGACCCTTCCCAAGGAAGCAAGGAAGAGGAGTCACTGGTGGCACCGACCGTGAGAGCTCTGCTTGCATGGTCTGTAGGGAATTATGTTTTAACTCAAATCCTAACTTCTCTGGTGGTCTGGATCTACCAACCGCCACACAGGGGGAAGATGGGCGATCTCCTCTCACCTAGTTTACAGTGTTAGAAACCGGAGGGAGGGTCCACAATGAGTCTGTGTGAGCAGACAAAGAGGAGGCCGTGACAGCCGAAAGAAGTTCAAGAGGGAGAGGAGGCAACTGTGATGTTAAGTTTGATGGGAATCTAGGTAGAATGGAGTTTTGTGCTTTTTATAAATTTTACACTGGCTTCTTTACAAAGCTTGTTGTACACCGTTTTTCACACTTGACCTTTCCAATTTCCTTCATTCCCACCTGCCCTCCACCCCTCAGCCCTTTGCTTCCACCCTCCACACCTCTTGTATCCTCATATTCGTTCTACAATAATGGTCTTATACAATATTTGTCCTTATGGGACTGAGCTAGTTCACTCAGAATAATGCTCTCCAGTCCCTCCCACGTTAGTAATTTACAAAACAGCTCTGGCGTGCTGCGTGGTAGTCCATTGTGTGAATGTATCATTGTTCCTCAAGCCATTCCATTGTGGTTGGACATTTGGGCTGTTTTCATGTTTAGAAGGGAATTTTGAAGAAGACATAGTAATATGATTACATCTGTTCTTTCCTCCAAAATTAACTCAGTGTATAGACTATTAAATCTATCATATTTTATCGACATTATCAAAATAGAATCCAAATTATATTTAATTTTCAAAAAAGGCATCATTGTGAAAACCTATTCATAGTTTAAATGGAGACGTAAAACATGTGATCTGCTGAAGGCGCATCAAAGGAAGCAGTTATTTCCAGAAATTACTTTTATTATCTATTAAAATATCAGCTTAAAAATTGAAAAGTAACCAAGTAATAGTCCACTTTAAAAAAACACACCAAACATTAAAAAGTCTTAGATGAAAGGAGAATGGCAGTTTATACTGGCAGCGATTCCCAGTCTTAACATTCTAAAGAAATTATTAAGCTCTTAAGGCTCCAACCTCAGAATTCCACACAAAGGCCTATGTGCAAATGGCCTCAATTAGTCAAAAAGCACAACTGACAATTCTCTTTTCGGTTGTGGCTTCTTTATTTCAAATTTGGCATTTCACACATACAGACACACATACACAAAATTTTCAGTTTATTCCCAAGAAAAGTCCAAGATACCCAATGAACATTGAGGGGGGGGGGGGGAACGGGACCCGCAAAAAAAAGAACAAAACGAAATCTGAATAGTTAAACTGTTTATTCTACAAAATGACCTCTTGCCTCTAGCTCTGTGGGGCTAGTGTACGTGGTCCCTGAAAAGATATTTCTTTCTTCTCATTTCAGTCTGTCTTTAGACACCATGTAAGCGCATCTGCTTGCTGTAAGGAGCTACGCTATGGCCAACTTTCAGAGGGCTTCGCGTTGGTCGGGAACAAAGAACAACATTCTTCAGAAGAAAGCTGTAAATGACCGAATAAGCTTTACAAGACCATTGAAGATATTCCGTACACTTTAAGGGGAGAAAGCTATGGGATAATTGGACTTGTTTGCTAAAAAAACGGGAATAATTAGAATAAATTAGGGTGTAAAAGACTTTACGTGGTAATGGACCCTTTGGAGGGAATGGAAGGTGCCAGACAGTACTTGGACTTTGCTGATGGTTCGGTATTGTAGTCAATGTTATTTTTCATTGACATTGTAAACATAATTCAAAGCAAGCCACCCCCTAACTTGTAAAACCATGCATTAAGAAATGATGCATATTCTTATGAAAAGTCAATGTTTTCTTTGATAGTTATGAGTCAGTTAAACAAGTACAAAGAGACAAAAGTTCATTTCAAATATAAAGTGGTTAAAAAATTACTTAATAAAAACTTCATTGGAAAGAGGATTTAAAAAAAGAGACAACGAAAGTTTTCCCAGTGTACTAGGGGTACTGCAGAGGGAGACCTCCAGACTCCGCGGTTCAGAACCACCAGAGGTGAGTTCTTGCTGAGTTTGGCAAACTTCTTGCTGTACATGAGCTATGACCGTACTGCCCCTTCACGGGCTGTTGAAAGACACACACTTGTCTTCAGCTGTGCTCCCAGGTTTTTGCATACCAAACCCTCTTCTCCTCAGCCATCACCTCGGAAACACTGCTATGGCGGCCCACAATCCTGGGGCCAAAAAGCCTTTGCGTTGTATGTTACGCGGGCTGTAAGCTTGTGCACATTTCCTTTTAAAATTTTCACATTGGAAGTTGATGGGCTTACACTTACATTCTTGCACCTGGCCTGGTCTTCACAGCTGATATTGAGCTTCTCCGGGGATTCTTTCCACAGATGTAATTGATTTGATTCCTCTGCATACCATCAGGTGAAATCCATGTGTATCGCCTGTGTTTGTGTTTCATATAAAAGGTATTTGCAATGAATAAATCATTGAATGTGCAAAATTCGATCATTCTATCTTCACCTTAATTTCTGTCACCAAGTCCACGTTTTTTATCTCCAGCTTAATTTCTGTCACCAAGTCCACGTTTTTCCACTACTGATCCTTCTTCCCTGTTCCAAACTTTTGCATTCCAATCACCCACTGTTA